AGAGTGTTTACTATATGGTTCTTAGATTTTACTAAAAGATTTTGTAATTTTGTATTGAAATACTATTTGATTGTCCAAGGTGATGTTCTCCTTCACTCCACATATAGTACGTATGTTTCAAGTCTTAGAGGATTGATTAGTCATGCTAATTGAATGGTATATTCGGTTCGTAAGCTATTCTTGTAACCTCCAAGCTAGAACTACAACACAGCTACCTGAACACAAGAGAAAATGTGCAACATATGCGAGAAGCACATTTTTCTCTAAAGGTTCGTTTTAGTACAGAAAATCTATGGTTTTTATGGTATTTTAGTTGTTCTTGAGTTTCCCGACAATTCTGAAATGCTATTAAACATCGTAACACAGTATATGTAACCAACCAATCAGAACCTCTACATGTGACATTTCACTTCTTTGATGTTTCTGGCTAAAACTTCAAATGAACGCTAATTGGATAAAATGCTTCTTGGTGTTTTCTTGATCCTTACTTGTCAATAGAGAGAAGTTTTCTGGATCACCTCAACAGATCCTACCAAGATATATCATTAGATTGTATTTGATTTTCTTCGTTAGCATTATTGTTAACCATAATACAAATGAAACCTGTAATAAATCCAATGATTATTTCATTTATTTCAATGGTTAAGATCATGAATCAATAGAAGCTAGACCACCATGGAAAACCTGGAAACACTGGATGGCCGTCTCCTCCCATTGTGGGACTACTCAGCAATGCGCATCCACGACCTCGCCCCCTGCGAGATTCGAACCCAAGGCCTCCTGGTTTCGCGCGCAAGCACTTAACCACTAGACCACTGAGCCGGCATCAAAAGGTTTTATTGTCTAACTTCAACTAATCCACGAAATTGAGCGACATATCCACCGTTGTCTTCAGTGAGTTACTATCTCATAACAGACCTGGTTAAACTCCACCAGTCACTATTTCTCACTAGAACTCCAGGATATACCTCTTGAAGCCAGTCACTGACTCATGATCTTAATCATTTAAATTACTATAATATTCACAAAACCCATATGATATTTATTTATTTATTTGTTTATTTATTTATTATTAAAGTGAATACAAACAATGTTTTTCCGAAAACAAACAACAACACACTGTTATATTTATACAAACGCCAGAAAACAACCTAAACATGCACACATGCACTCACACACAAACACACACACACACACAAAGATACACCTACATTCATATTCATTTATTTAAACAATCGAATATGTAAAATTGTTACAGTGGTTTTTTATTGGTGGTGGTGGTGGTGTTTTTGTTGTTGGGTGAATGGATAATGTCAACGAGACAGTGAGAGACAAAACGAGAGAGAGAGAGAGACAGAGGGAGAGGGGATGAGGGTACGAAAGTAAGACAGGGGGGAGAGTTAGTTTCTATCTTAATTTGTTTTGGACATATTTTTGTGTGATATCATATTACATAAGTCAATTTTAAAATAAAAATTATGTGATTGAATGGATACCAAAAAACAACAACAACAACAAAAAACAAAATGAAGCTTGAACACTTTATGAAAACGGTCACCAGTGATTAGAGTTAAGTTACAAATGTAATTTACATGATTTATAATAATTAGTAATGAATTTACATGGTATTATCAATTTAGGTGTGGGACTCCTTAACAGTCAGCATCCACGATCTCGCTCGTGGAATTCGAACCCAGAACCTTCAGTCTCGTCCATGAATGTATAACCTGCTGAGGAGTCCCACAATAGAACGAAACGGCCTTCCAGTGTGTCCAGGTTTTCAATGGAGGTGTAACATCAATCGGTTCATGATCTTAATCACATGGTATTGTTTGCTTATATCTTCCCATGTTGATGTTAATGACTATACTTGATCAGTCTGTTGTTGGTATATGTGCATTCTGTGTGGATTACCTCGATATTCCCGTAATTCACAAACTTAATAAGCAAGGATAGATGTTGGCTAGTAATGGAATCCAGGACATTTGTTTCACCCTATTTGGATGTATCTGAATCTCAGGGACTTGAACCCAGTACCGTTTGTTTGAAACGTCATCGTATTTTCCACTTAATTACTGAGTTCTGATAGCAACTTGCTTCAGCAATGTGGTGAAGTTTTAAATTCACTTGAATCTTCCCATTGATGTTTAGGACTGTAATTAATCAGTCCCTCTCTCTCTTATTGGCATATGTGTATACTGTGCGTATTGCCTCGATATTGCCTTAATTCACAAGCTTTATGAGCAAAGATGAATAGCGGCTAGCAGTGGAATGCAGGATATAAGTTTCGTCTTATTTGGGATTCATCAACCGGATGAACTTGAATCCCAGTGTTGATGCCTACTCTAAGACTCGAACACATTACCGTCCGCTTCAAACACCATCATGTTATCCGTGATGGATGAGAACATAGGTGGATACAACCAATTTTGTTTGAATACAAAATTACAGAGTTCTATGATAAAATATGAAAACCACACGTTCAATACTTTGTTTGCAAATGCTCCATCAATTGTTTCAGACTTCATCGTTCCTTCATGACCATAATAATTACTGTCTGTTCCCGTTCTCTTCGATTCAATCTTCTTAACTTTCTGCTGCTAGACATTCCGTTTTTGATTGGTATTATATACTACTTATGTCGACAAAAGTAGCATACACTACGTATCCACTTAGACACAGAATCCAGATAGCCACTAGCTTGTGCAATATGGTGAAGTTTTAATTCATTATTGTACTGTTTTTGTTTTTGGATTTTTCAATTGATGTTCAGGACTATAATTGATCAGTCTCTATAGAATAAAACACTCATCGTAGATTCCACTACCAACCACTATCCATCTTTCCTTAGAATGCTTGTGACTTAAAACCATAATGAGGCAATACGCACAAAATGCATAGATGCCATTAAAAAACTGATCAATAGCAGTTGTAAACAACAATAGGAAGATACAAGCAAACAATACCAAGTGAATTCAAAATCAAGTGGCTATCAGAACTTAGTTACTAAGAGAATAAACCGATAACCTTTGAAACAAACGGTATTGTTGTTCAAATCTCAGAGTAAACATCAACTCAAAGATGCAGATTCATCTATCTGACGAGCCCTAAATAAGACGAAACGTGCACCAAACTAGATTCCTGTTTCTACTCACTATTCATCTTTAACTAACAATCAATATGTTATGGTTTTTCTCTATATATTTTTTATTTATATTCTTTTCTTTTCTTTTCTAGTTGCCTACGATGATTGTACATAAAGAGATAAGACGTTAATATTGATTTCAATTTGGATACATTCTGTAAACATTAAATGTCTCGGGTTTTTTTTTTTCTAGTTTCAAATGTAACAACATTTGACCATTTATCATATTGATTAATTTAAACAATAAAGAATCTAACAATATGATGGTCTACTCAAACTAATTTTCTTATTACTAATTGAGATTATGAGTCATTTGAAGTTAGATCACCATGGAGAACCTGGAAGCATTGGATGGATGTTTCGTGTCGCTCAATTTCGTGGATTGGTTAGATGCCATTTAAGTCAGTGATCTAGAGGTGAACCATTTGTGTGCGAGATGGATAGGTCCTATGTTCGAATTCTATGAAGTAGGATTGTGGATGCGCACTGCTGAGGAGTCCCACAATAAGATGAAACAGCCTTCCAATGGTTTTAGCTTTTCAATGATGGACTAACATCAATCAGTACATGATGTCGATCAAAAACATAATAATCTTCACAACCCTATACTGATAATTACCATGTGCTTACTAGTGACTAGCTTCATGAGGTGATTCTCGAAGTTCTAGTTCTCGGAGGAGCTGTGACCAGTGGAGCTAATCCGTGTCAGGTAGAAATGGGTATATACCTTAACAACCCTACTGATATATATCTTCTTATTGAAGTTGGATCAATAGTAAAAAGATAAAAATCGTTACAATGACGAATAATGGATTTGTCATCTTAAGGGTGAACATCAACAATGACATACAGGTATAAGTTCCATTAATAGACAATATGGACCGGAGTCAGACAAGGCTGTCTACTCTCTTTCTTCCTCTTTCTTCTGGTGGTCGACTGGAGTATGAAGACCTCAACATCTGAAGGACAACACGGCATATAATGGACAGCTCAGAACCAATTAGACGCTTTGAACTTCGCAGATGACCTAGCCCTCCTATCACATACACACGAACAAATGCAGATTAGGACAGTCATTGTAGCAGCAGTCTCTGCATCAGTAGGCCTTAACGTACACAAGGGAAAAACGAAGGTCCTCAAACACAACACGGAGAATACCAACCCAATCACACTTGATGGTGAAACTCTGGGAGATGTAGAATCCTGCCCGTACCTGGGAAGCATCATCGATGAATAAGGAGGATCACATGCAGATGTAAAGGCGAGAATTGGCAAAGCAACAACAGCATTCCTACAATTGAAGAATATATGGAACTCAAAACAACTTTCAACCAATATCCAAGTCAGAATCATTATTACGAATGTCAACATAGTTAGTTCTACTATACGGAGCTGAAACTTGGAGAATTACTACAACCATCATCAAGAAGGTTCAACTATTTATAAATAGTTGTCTACGCAAGATACTCAACATCCAATAGTCGGATACCATCAGTAACAACATTCTGTGGGGGGGGGGAATCAGTTCCCAGATGAACAGGAAAAGACGTTGAAAGTGGGTAAGATATATATTACAGAAATCATTAAACTGCATCACGAGACAAGCCCTAACTTGGAATCGTAAAAGGAAGTGGAAAAGAGGAAGACTAAAGAACACAGTACGTCAGAAAATAGAATCAAATATAAAAAGGATGAATAACAACTCGAAAAAGAGTTGAAAAGTTTTATCCAGGACAATGTTGAATGGTGAGTGCTGTTAAGCGGCCTATACACCTTCACAAGGAGTTATAGGCGTAAGTAAATAATAAACAATATCAAGAAACAATTTATTATCAATAATTCATTATTAAACAATATTCAATTGAAAAAAAAAAAGAAATGGAACACAATAATCAATAATGAGATATTCTTCTTTATACATATGGGTTTCAATAGATTAATCATAAAAAGATCAATTGAAATGCACTTGAATTGGATTGTTTCCTTTTTCTTTTTTTTCTTTTTTTTTTCTGATCAACATCATAGAATCCTATGATAGTTGCCATAGCAACTATCAATTATTATGATTCATTTCTATATGCTCTTTTTGATTTACTTCAACTGATTGATGTATACCAAAACGAAATTTACATTTTCCTAATGTTTCTATATAAAATATACGTTGATTTGATTTTAACATGGATTCAGTCCATAAATAGAAATTTTCATTAGAATTATTATCTTTAAAACGATCAGATTTTAATGTATCTTGTATAATTGTACCTAAATCACCTTCAAGATATTTAATTAATGTATTATCATGAATAGGATCTAAGAATAATACACGAATACGTCCATACATTGAAGTTTTTAAACGAAAACAACAATTCATTTCTTCTTCTTCAATTTTTACCTAAAATAAACAACAACAACAACAACAACAAGAACAAGAACAAAAACAAGAACATAGTTTCAATTATTAAGATCTTGAATTAGATCATTATGGAAAACCTAGAAGCATTGAACGGTTGTTTTGTTCTATTGTCGGATTCCTCAGCAATGTGTATTCATGATTCCGCATTGAGAGATTCGAATCGAGGAACTATCGGTTGAGATCATGAGTCAATTGAAGTTAGATCATCATTGCAAAACCTAGAAGCATTGAACTGCCACTCTTGACCGTACTAGGGCATTTTTGGGAGTTCATGGTAGTCTAGCTTAAATCAACTCATGAATTCAATTATTAATTTACTAAAAATTTCTACAACTCCTCATTCTGATAATAATCATCATGTGCTCACTATTGATCGGCTTCAAGATGTTCATCCTGAACTTCTAGTGAGTAAGCGTGACTATGACCATGTAATAGTAGCTCGACTTATATCGAACCTACATAGTTTATTTTATCTTTTGGACAAAACAATTTATCTATTCTTCTCAAGTTACATTTTGACTTCGTTACCTTAACTGTTTTTATGTAAACATATGTATGTATGTATGTGTGTGTGTGTGTACATATCTTATCTTACTCATCATATGCCTGTAACTTATTTTTGTTCGGTTATAAATATTGATTAACATTTAATTAAAACGAGTTGGTTTATAGGCTTTCTTTATTACGCTTCATTTTGCATCGCTCTCTTCTCTTCACTTTGTTACTCTGCTCGTTTACCTAGATTAACACAAGTGAAGTCGATGAATATAGTCGAGGATTCATAATATGTATATTTTAATATAACAATCAATCATACAATATTATTCGAATCAGATACAATGCCAAGAAAATCAGTAGACTTCAACAGATGTCTTTTATAAGGCAGTTACTCACTGAAGACAATAATGGATGGTCGTGCAATTTCATGGATTGGTTGAAGTGAGATATTAACACTGTCAGATATCAGTTAAGTAGTCTAGAGGTTAAACGTTCGATGGCGTGACTGAAGGTCCTGGGTTCGAGTCCGACATCACGGATTATGGATGCGCGTTGCTGAGGTGTCCCATGCTATGAAATCAAAGTGATATCGATCCTTAACCATTATTGATATAAACATCATATGCAATGAGCAAGTTAATGACTGTTTGTACTTAGTAACACATTAGCACATAGATACAACTGTCGATTCAAATCCTATAGTGGTTGATGTAGTAAAAGTATAAGTAGTGTGTTATTGACGTTTAAATATGTAAGTACATAATAAGTGATGAAGATTAAGTTCATAATAGATGGAAATCATAACCCATATTTATCAGAAATAATGAAGGTTTGATGATAAAAGATTGAAATCAATGGGACTCTTCAGCAGAGAACAACCACCTATAATCTTAAAAGGAATAGAATCTAGTGTAATGAAGTCTTATTGAAAGTGCTTCGTGTTCAAGCGATTGCGTTGACAAATGGTGGTCTACATTTTGAAGTTCAGATAACTCTTGATAGTGAACAAGTATAGCTGACATATATTTCAGCTTCGACAGAGGAATCTTTTATATCCCATCGAGAAAAGTGAATGGTAACTATTGGGTTCCATTTATGGACCAATACTATGCGTATATATTTTTATCGTATAATTGTTAAATGACTAAACAATGCATATTCATGTTCCTCTTATTATAAGCTTTATTTACCATTCTTAAGTTATGCCCAGTCTATTAGTCACAGTCTCTCACATTCACAGCCACTTTTGGCTAGATCTTGTACAAATGTTGTTTTCTATTTTATGGTATGATGTGGTCTGTTTAGTTTGTATATAAACCTGGTACGTTTAAAATACTTGATTCATATCGCAGACGTTGAGATTGATGTTCTGGACTTAACAGGTAGGCAGGGCTGGGTAGGAAGTAGAGCCGATAAGGATTCTAGGCTGCTCGTCGTTGATCCTGTCGATAAATCACTATACTCTAATTGGTGGTATCATTATGTCATATATGAATAGGGCACAGAGCTACAAGTTATAACAGATTTAACTATTTTTAACTTCTCAATAGGTCTCAATGAACTTCCTTTCTATGTCAGTCACCAGTTAATAACATGACGGTTTGCTAAAATAAGGGATTGTGAAGGTTGATAAGTATCGATCTTAGTAAAATCATGAATGGATTGAAGTTAGAAATGTAAACTACCATATTTCATCTCAGTAATATGAAGGTTCATTATTAGTTGAGAAGTTCAAATCTATCCCTTATCAAATTCTTCAGGAGCTCATTAGACTCTAAGGAATGTTTTATCCACTTAACAGTGAGTAAGATTATGTATCATGTTTCTCATGATGATGTTTACGAAACGTTCTAGAAGATCAAGGTCATACGAAACTCTAAATATAAACTCAGGTGAGACTATAATTCATGGACGACATTTGAGTGACGCTAAACTGACCTGGAGAGTGTTCACCTAATAACCAGGACTAAATGAAGGTTATAAATCAATGTGAGGACTTTCAATTATGATTAACAATTGATGGTTAAAGATAGGGATTAGATTTAGGATTTTCATTACGAATTGATATCAGCTATAATGCCAAAATTCTATTTAGCCGAATGAATGAAGGAATTTCGCGCCGAAATTCGAGACCTGTTATCTAATACGTGATTGGTTCGTCTATAAATTATAGTCTCACCGAAAGACTTAAAGAAATGAATCAATTGTATCATTCACATTAGAAACTCATTAACTGTGTTGCTGAACCGGATGAAAGATTCAATAGACGATCAACTTCGAGATACATAGACCGGGTTCTATGAGGATTGATTCTGTACCGATCAAATCGCGACACTATATATCATGGTTATTTAATCAATTGAATGGAACTCGTCACCATACTCCAACTACTTTGACTATGAAAAGTATTTGATAGTGTGAATAGAACAACCTTATGGAACCTTGTTCGATACTATGGTGTATTCGAGAAGATCGACAACATCATACGGAATTCATATGACGGAAAACACTGAAAAGATGTGCATGGAGGACAGCTGACAGACACTCCCAAGTGAAGACCGGTTTCAGAAAAGGTTGCTTACTCTCCCCCATTCTCTTTCTTCTGGTGGTTGACTGGACTATGAAAACCTCGATAACTAAGGGGAAGCATGGAGTACAATTGACATCTTGGATGCAACTAGACAAGTTGGACTTGGCAGATCACCTAGCTCTTCTACCCCATTCACATCAACGAATACAGGTGAAGACAAACAGGGTAGTAGCAACCTCTGTAGAAGTAGCCCTCAACATACACAAAGGGAAAGGTGACATCGTCCAATACAACATGGAGAACAACAACCAAATCACATTTGATGGAAAAACTTTGGAAGAAGTGAAATCTTTCACGTACCTGGATAATATCATCGGTGAACAAGGAGGATCTGATGCAGATATAAAGCTAAGGATCGGCAAAAGAAGGTCGACATTTCTACAGTTGAAGAACATATAGAACTCAAAATAATTATTAACCAACACCAAAGTGAGAATCTTCCATATGAACATCAAGATAGTTCTACTGTACGCATCTGAAACTTGGAGAGCTGTTACAACCATCATCAAAACACTACAAGTATTTATAAACAACTATCTAAACAAGATACTCAACGTCCGTTCATTGGATACCATCAGCAACAACCTACTGCGAGAGAGAACAAGCCAGCTTGAGCAAATTATCAAACTGCATCACAAGGCAAGCGCTACCATGGGATCCAGAAGGGAAAAGGAGAAGAAGAAGACTATAGAACACATTGCGTAGAGAATCGGAAGCAGACATGAAAAGGATGAATCGCAACTGGAAAGAACTGGGAAAGATTACCCAAAAGAGAGTTGGGTGGAGAATGTTGGTGGACATCCTATAGTCCTCTATGAAGGGTACCAGACGTAAGTAAGTAAGTAAGTAAGTATTACAAATAATAAGTACTGAATTCAAAAAAAACAATTTGTTAATGATAAACTATCAAGTTATTCAAATTACAACAGTTATGATCATGAGTCAGTTGAAGTTAGACCACCATTGAAAAGCTGTGAGTACTAAACGACTGTTTCGTCCTATTGTAGGACTCCTCAGAGGTGTGCATTTATGATCCCGCCTCGCAAGATTCGAACGCAGGATCTATCAGTCTCGCACACGAACGATTAACCTCTACACCACTTAGCTGGCCGGCATCCAATAGTGTTAATGTTTAATTTCAACTAATCCACAAAATTGAGACACACATTCACTATTGTCATCAATGAGTTACTATCTCAAAACTGACCTAATTGAACTCCACCGGTCACTGCTTTTTACTAGAACTCCAGGATATATACCTTGAAGCCAATCACTGCTAAGCATATATGAATTAGTATTAGATTAGTAGTATGTTCATTATTTTTCAATGATATGGAATATAGATCATGAATAGACAGTGTTTAGTATGGATTCTCATATTCATCAATAAAAGAAATCTATCCTATAATCGATTAAGTTGATAAACAATTTTGATTGTATTAACCTTGTCACTATGCAGATACAATAAAATAAACAAAAAATTTGTACTAAACCAGTTACAATTTAAATACTAAGGTAGTTTGCACTTAGATTTTTTTTTTTTCGATTGTTGTTTTCAAAACTATAAGGAATAGTAAACTTGAAAGTGCATAGAAAATGATGATTGATTTGTATGAATCATAAATAATTAGAACTTTTAATCAATATGGAATTATGTTAAGTTTTTGATCGAGATCATAAATTGATCAATGTTAGATGACTAATAAGAACCTAAAAGTACTAGACAGATGTGTTGTTCCATTACAAGAATCCTTAGCAATGTAGAATTATAATCCCACACTTGGAATTCGGACACAGGATATTTGGTCTCGTATGAGAACGTTTAACCTACTGGATCACTAAGTTGACCGAAATCCAACGATGTTAATGTCTAATCTCAACCTATCCACGAAATCACGTGATCATCTGAGGTAGATACCTGTCTCTACCTGAAACAGATTAGTTCTATTGGTCACGGCTTCTCATCAGAACTCTGAGAATCATTTCATGAAGTTAGTGACTAATGAGCACATGGTAATTATCAGTTAAGGGGTTGAAGAGATTGTTAAATTTTTGATTGACATCATGAATTGATCAATGTTAAATCACTATGAAAAGCATGCAAACACTGGGCGGCTTTTTCGTCCAATTGTGAAACTCTTCATCAGTGAACATCAACGATCTTAACCGTCGCCTTTGGTCTCTCACGAGAACACTTAACCTATAAACCGCTGAGTTGGCATCCAATGATGCTAACGTCTAACTTCAATTAATTCATAAAATTGAGCGACATGAAACGGCCGTCCAATTTTTCCAGGTTTTCCATGGTGATCTATCTTCAATTGACTCATGATCTCAACTTTTAAATTAGTTGCCACTTTACATTGGGTCTGTAGAACGACGTTGATGAGTGTTAACTAACACGAAACTTATATGCCAAACAGTATTTCTGTTTGATTACCCTTAAAAGTCATGCTAATGAATATAAACATTTAACGTTATTAATACTTTAAGGAACAATGGACAACTTTAAATTGTCTGTAGATGGTTGTCAGAAGAAAACCTAGCTAGATCTAGTTTTCATCCTTGTTCATACTCTTCAGCAAGCTGAAACTATAATCTTTGAGTAACTATTGTTGTATGTGAAATCTTAACTTGTGTCAACTACCTACTTAAACGGACAAAAAAATTTTGATGGTGGTAGTAAAAGTGTAGTGAATGCAAACTTATATAGGGGGAAACTAATTTGTTGGTTAATACAAAATTACAGAGCGCCCCCGAATGACCTGGTACGGCCGAGAGTGGAGATAGTCTGCTCTCCCTCTCCAAATGCTCTCACATCGCCACGCGTATATAGCCTATGCCAAGGAAGTCATACTCACTGCATTCTCGCACCACGGGTGTTGTTCACGAAATTGAGAGGACGAAAAGCGAATGTCCGGCGTTTTAACCGGATCCCAAATCAATGATGCACATGTGCTAGCTCCAGTATCCTGCGAGAAAAAATGGCGTATGAACCTGTTGTTGGTCACCGGCTACCATGGAACGGCATCTCCTTACGATGCTCCACTGTCTTTTGGATCACACCTTTAGGTCGAAGGCTCGGGGTGTGGTCCCCTAAGAAAACCACGTGGTTCGGTTCGGGCACCTGGGCAGTATCATAGTACTCACACAAACCAAATGAAATTTGTGTGGCGCATATGTGTTTGGTGCCTCCTTGTACCAATATCTATGTGTTAAAATAAAAATAATAAAAAAATAAGATTACAGAGATATCATCTTAAATTATGAAAACCATACACCAAATACTTCATTTGTACATCTTCCTATTATTTGTTTTTTACGTCCTAATTCTCCACTCTTTTATGTTTCCCCTCCTGTTTTCTTCAGTTTAATCTTCTAAATCTTCGTTTAATAGCCATTCCACATTTTACCGATGTTACATACTACTTATATCTGTATATATAAGTAGCATTCATCATGGTAATAATATTGATTTAGTCAGTAGGGAATATCATTTTTTTTTTTTTTTTTAATAAATAAGCCAACTTACTTCAGCGGAAGCAGAATGTCTTGGTGGTACTGTAATACGTGTATCTACACCCCAAGCAAGTTCTTCTTCAGTTGATTGTCTTGTTGATGATCCAATTGAAATTTCATGTTTAAATCCAGCATTGGCTTCCATAATTGAATTAGGTAACTAAAAATGATCAGATTAAAAAAAAACAAACCAGAACGTCAATACATGATTCAAATATAAAGTTTATTTAAATAAAACGTTTCAGATAGACTTTGTCAATACAACTAATGCCATATATAACAATAGAATATCTGTTATGTAATAAATGATACTCACACAATTGGTGCTCATATTGACTGTTGTGTGAATATAACATTCAGAAACCATATTCGAGTATTGTTGTTTAAGCTTCTTTGGTTAATAGTTTCATTATCAGAAAGGGTTTTGTGGAGATTTTAGAAAATTCAATAGTTGAAATCATGAGTCAATTCAAGCTAGACCATCATGAAAAAACCTGGAAGCACTGAACGACCGTTTCGTGCTAGTATGGAACTCCTCAGTAGTGAGCATCCACGATATCGCCCCATTCGTGAGATTCGAACGTGAGACGGTGTTGGATGTGTTACTCAATGTCGTGGATTGTTTGAAGTTAGACATTAATACTATCGGATGCCGGGTCAGTGTTCTACCGGTTAAGCTTTCGAGCGCTGGTCCTGGGTTCGAATCTCTCGACACAGGATCATGGATGCGCACTGCTGAGGAGTCCTATAATAGGACAAAACGGCTGTCCAGTGCTTCCAGGTTTTCCATAGTGATTTAAATTCAATTCACTCATGATTTCAACTATTGTAATAGTTTATTTTACATCACTTAACAGAATACTTGAGTGCTGTGATTCTGAACAAAAGTTGAGTCTCAAAAATAACTCAGATTTTAAGCGCTGGTCTATAATTCAATCTTGGAGATAATCTAATGGATTTGTTTCAGTAAAAGACAAGGAGTGAGATGAGACAGTTTATCTCCTCTCAATAATACTTAAAATTAGGCTCAATTAATTGATTTAGCTCGACCCTGGCATGGCCGAGAGTGAGGAGTGTGAGCTCTCCCTCTTGAAATGCTCTCACATGGCTACGTGCATACAACCACTGACAGGGAAGTTCGATTCATTATCTTCTCACGTAAGGGGTGTTTTTTTACGAAATTGAAAAGACGAAAAGTGAATGTCTGATGTATTAACCGGGTTGATGGATAGAAAGGATCCATCTAGAAGAGTTTAAAATGCCTGACTCCAAACTAATGGTACACGTGAGCTATAGTACCTTGAAGTAAGAAATGGCGTATAAACCGGCTACCATGAGATTGCATCTTCTGACGTTGCTCCATTGTTTTGTGAATCAAACCTTTAGATTAAATGCTCCAAGTATGGCCTCCTAAAGAAATTACTTTCTTCGGTTTCAGAACCCAGGCAGTATGCTAGCCCTCAGACAAATCGAATGATTTATGTAATGCATATTTATTTGGTGCCTTCTTTTACCTATATTTATGTAAGTAAACATTCACAAGGTCACTTTTGGCGTTGTTCAAAGGTCGTCTATAGAATTATAATCTTATCGTTTATGATCATAGTACTCATATATGTTGATTGTACAATACAATACAATATAGAATGAATCATTTTAATTATTAAAACAAATAGAATTGATGTATTTTGATCATTTATTTACTCAAAAACTCATCAGTTCAAAGTCTAATTTACTTGTAATCTAAGAAATGAATAAGTTTTATAAGTTCAGTAAAGTTAGACAGATCATCACTATAGAAATACATGAAAGTACTGAATGATCGTTTCATCTTTGTATGTACTCACTAGTGACTGACTTTATAAGGTATTACCTGAAGTTCTAGCGAGAAGCTGTGGCTAATGGAGTTTAACCTTATCTGCTATAGAGGCAATTATTGACTGAAGACAATGATGGAAGGTGATGCAATTTCATGAACTGATTGAAATTAGAGATTAACACTGAAATTCCTCGATTCGTATCTCGTGTGTGAGATCTTGGGAGTACATTGTTGAGGAGTCTTATACTATGACAAAACAGCCGTATAATGCTCTCAGATGACCGAAAATCTTGTGTTTGAGTCTCGCGTTCAAAATCGTGGAAGTTCACTTCTGAGAAGTCCCATACTAGGACGAAGCGACCTTTTGATGCTCTCAGATGACCAAAGTTCCTAGGTTTAAGTTTCACGTGCAAAATTGTGGATGTTCACCCCTGAAGAGTCCTATACTAGGACAAAACGGTCATCCATTACTTTCAAGTTTTCTATGACACTCTAGCTTTAATCAACTCATCAATTCAACTATCTAAACTGATTACCATCTTCATAAAACCTTTATTTTGATAAAATAAATCATTGTATAGATAAATATTCAATCAATAATTCAAGAATCGTAGACATTCGGTTGTTTTAATTCACCTTCTGTCATAAAAATACATCTCATTAATTATTTACTTATCTATCTATCCATATCCATATCCATTTATAGTTCCTCTGTAGTTCACTATGACAACGGATAAACATAAAGAGATTAAGTCTTCTGTTCGTCACCATAGTTACGTCAACTGTACTCATTTGCATAAAATCAATCTTTATTGATTGGTGAAAATTTTTGGTTTTTTTTTTAATTTGAATTTTTAAACGATAAAAGTTTTTATATAAGACAAACAAAATATTCAATTGTTTTGTAGGTATATGAATCAATGAATGTTACACGGGCAAGCCCTTATCATTTGGAATCCTTAACGTTAAAGGAGAAATGGGAGAACATAAAGATCAAAGAACAGATTACGTCGAGAAATGGAGAGAGAGAGAGACATGAGAAGAATGAATAACATTTGGATAGGATTAGAAAGAAAGGATTAGGATAGAGTGGGTTAGAGAATGCTGGTCGGCTGGTGATTGACTGGATTATGAATATGTCAATATCTGAGAGGAAGCATGGGATAATGTAGACAGATAGGATGCAGCTGGACGATCTAGACTTCGCGGATGATCTAGATCTTCTATCGCACACACAACAACAAATGCAAGAGAAGACGACCAGTTTAACAGTAGCCTCAGAAGCACTACATCTCAACATACACAAAGGGAAAAGTAAGATTCTCCGATACAACACAACATGCAACAATTGAATCACACTTGATGGAGAAGATTTAGAAGATTTAAAAACCTTTACATTTATGGGCAGTATCATTGATGTACACGATGGATCTGATGAAGATGTGAAGGCGCGAATTGGCAAAACAACAGCACCATATTCACAATTGAAGAACATATGGAACTAAAAAACTTGGCAACCAACATCAAGGTTAGCACTTTCAATACAAATGTCAAAACAGTTCTACTGCATGGGGCGAAAACTTGGAGAACTACGAAAGCTATCATCTAGAAGATAGAAGTGTTTATTAACAGTTTTCCACGCAAAATACTTCGGATCCGTCGGCCAGACACTATCAGCAACCACCTACTGTGGGAAAGAACGAACCAGATTCCAGCGGAGGTAGAAATAAGAAAGAAGGACACATAATGAGCAAAGCACTCAACTGTGTCACAAGGCAAGCCTTCACATGGAATCTTCAAGGCCAAAGGAGAAGAAGAAGAAGACCAATGAACACATCACTCCAAGAAATGGAGACAGATATGAGAAGAATGAACAACAATGGTATAGAACTAGAATGGAAAGCTCAGGAGAGAGTAGGTTAGAGAATGCTAATCGGCGGCCTATGCCCCATTATGAGTAACAGACGCAAGTACATAAGTATGTATTAATGCTAAATCATGAATTCACGCCGATGGAGACTCCTGAACTATACCAATAACAAATGTGTATTGCTATTTGACTTTTCAACAGTTTCCCCCCCCCCAATCGATGTTATGTTTTAATGATAACTAAATTCATATAATCTGAAATTATTCCTTTAAATTCAATCAAAGTAAACAGTCGTTGAATCATTGTTTCAATTCATTTGGCAATAATTCAAACGATACTTTGAACTTAGGAGATATTTTTCAAGCTTATTGAATAGGATTCCTTCAAATAACTTCAATAGTAGGAACTACGAACAATGTTGTTTCTACAGTGAAACATTCAACTAAGAAAGATACAGCTTATTTTGACGATTGGATAATCGGTGAAGTCTAACTACGATTGAAAAGTTGTCGCTTCATTCTGAATGACTTCTTAGTAATACTCATACACCGTATGTCAATCAATAACATTAGTACACTTGATAAGTACTATATGTTGACACTGAAAGTCATCAGTTCATCATTCATCAGTCAATCAGCGTCAATCATCCCAATTCTAACATGTTAGAACTATGTAAGTTATGAATTCTTCTCAGAGCTTCTCATTAATATCAGTATTTTGTTTGTTCATAAAGTAAGAAGCATTTGAAAGTTGGTCATTTTAAAGTTTGTGGAGATGACAGTATATTTTGTAGAATTTAAAAAGTGAACTGATGTTAGATTACCATTGAAAATCTGGAAGCACTGAAGGTCTTCTTAATACGGAACTTCACAGGAATTAACATCAACAACGGCACATCTGGGAATCGAACTCAGGACCACTGAGCTCGTATCTAACGGTGTTAATGTTTAACTTTAATCAATTCGATAAATGACTTAAATATCACCGTTTGAATAACTATCTAACACATTCAATAAGCAAAAGCCTTCTGTGAGAGAGAACAAACCAGCTTCCAGATGAAGAGGAAATTAGGAAAAGACGATGGAAATGGATAGGACATACATTACGCAAATCATCAAACTGCATCATGAGGCAAACCCTAACATGGAATTCTGAAGGGAAGCGGAAAAGAAGAAGACCAAAGAACACATTACGTCAAGAAATAGAATCAGATATGAAAAGGATGAATAAGAACTGGAAAGATCTGGAAAGCATTGCCCAGGACAGGGTTGGATGGAGAGTGCTGGTAAGCGGCGGATGCTCCTTCACGAGGAGTAACAGGCGTAAGTAAGTAAGTAAGTAAGCAAAGAAGAAGTAAACAAGACCAAATAAGTGACTATCAAGATTCAGTAGGTACGTGGATACTGGAATGACGTTTGAAGTGAACGGTGCTGGGTTCGAGTCCCAGAATGAACATCAACTCTAAGATACA